AGAGACACGAAATGAGCACAGGCTGCTGGGGTACGGCGCCGGAAGGCCTGCTTGCCGCGGGGCTGCCACGCACGCTGGGCGGGTGCAGCTGCGCTGTGTGCCAGGCGCCCGGCGATGAGGCGCGCCCGCACCTGCTTCATTCAAACCGAGATGGAGACGGTGCTTACGTCCCGCACCCAGCATTACCGAAAAAGGATACTGATGTTTAAGATGTGACTACGACTTCTTAAAACATCTAGAGCTCACATAACTAAGAATTCTCACCTTGAAGGTTTATACTGAAATATTTTGAAACTCTTTTATGATTGTTTTATTACCATAGAGTATATATTCAAAGGTTTCATAAATTCTGAGGAAATAGAAACAAGTTCCAAAGTTGTTCTGAACAATAGTAGCATTTTTAGAACAAGTATGTTATTTCTGTTGATGATTATTTCAAAAGAAACAAATTACTTTGAATGTATAAATTCTGCCATTTTATTTAAATTAGTAATTACTTCTGACACATATCATATTCATCAATTGTACTATGCTAATTCACTTAAAGAAATGATTTCTTCTATTTCAATACATAAATCCAATATGATTTTTGTGAGAAAACAGATTCACAATATTTCATAAAAATTAATCATGAATTAATGTATTAAGTACCTATTAAGTGCCAAGCACAGTTCTAGATAATGAATATTCAAAATGAATAAGACACAATGTTTTCTCTCAAAGGATTATACACTAGAAGAGAAAGGGGAACACATAGATCAATCAGTGTGTTACAGAGGAAAGTAAAGAGGTATGTGCTCAGTGGTCTAGGGCAGGAAGAAACAAACTAAACCCAGAGAGTGAGCGAAGGGTGTACAGCCAAGAGAGGGCTGGTAAGAACAGACTTTGTAGAGCAGCCAGTGTTCGGACAGCCGCGCATTGTTCAAGGAGACCACGGTATACAGTGGAAGTGGGACAGGCAGTTCTACACTCAAATCCCAAAACACTCACTTACGAGGAATTTTTTCATTGTTTTTCATACTCTCTGAACTTCACATTTTTTTTCTAAAATAGAAATCCTATACTCATTGTCTCCTTGCTGTAGGGATTATGTGAGATAATTTATATAAAATATATAGCTATGTACCTAATAAATGGTAGCAATTATTATTTATTTAGTTTCTATTAAATGAGGTTATTTGGCTTAAACTCCAAAAGTCTGGTTTTAGTCCCTGACAAAATGAATTAACTTGCAAGTTTCTGATCTTTAGAATGTACTTAAAACAAAAAACATCCATTTGTACATGATCATAATTTAAAATTTAGGGACTGAATAAAGAGGTTTTAGGACACAGAAGTCAACAAGAAACAGAAACCCAAAAGTCAAATACTTTACATTATAAATTCAAAGGAAACTAAGATTTAAAACAAATCAAAAAAGTAATTTAACTGTATAATTAAACAAGAGATAAAGTATGGATTTAACCAATTTCCCTAAAGTAAGAAGAGTATCAATTTCCCTTTCCAACCTATAATAGAATGTTCATTTATGCTTACAAAGATTATCTTAAAAGTCATTTCTAAAATTATTGGGTAGATACCTATAATAGGAACATTAAGGAAACTCTTAAAAAAAGAAAAAAATCACGCATACACCCACTGCTCTAATTATACTTCATTTATCCATATTCTTTAAAAAATTCTTTCTTATCCATATGCATACATAATTCCTATACAATCTAAACAAGGCACTGGCACAACTTTCTGAAATTGTAGACATATGGCCTAAGAAAAAAATTTTAAAAACCTATAGGGAATACTTAGCAGATTTTGTCCTCAGTTCAAGAATAGCAAATGTCACGTAAGTGCACTGAAAATCCTTTATCTTGACCTTATACTCTCAAATAAGTTGCAAAATATATTGAATAGAGACATTTCTATACTGACTTAAATCTTAAGAGAAACCCAAAGTAACAGAAACAAAAATTTATTGATAAGATGTTATGAGTTAAACAGGGAATGAGACCAAAGACAATCAAATTCAGCACAAGATGTGATTACACAAAGATAGGAAAAGTTTCTATTGAATTCTCTTCACACTATTTCTCTTTGTACCTACAGAAGGAAATCTTTTCTTTTAATCAACAGAAGACACTGTTTGTTTGTTTGTTTGTTTTTACAGATGGGGGTCTCACTCTGTCGTCCAGGCTGGAGGAACTGCATCCTCAAACTCCTAGGCTCAAGCGATCTTCTCGCCTCAGCCTCCCAAGTATCTGGAATTACAGATGTGTGCCACGACGCCCAGTTAATTTTTTTTTTTTT